CAATGGCAAAAAAAAAAATTGATTTTCTAACATTTAGCCTAAAGTGATTCAAGTTTCAGAACTGCAAGCACATATATTAAGTAAAGGTGCAAAAAAATACACAGTCAAAAATGTCTCTATGTGTTTTATTAAATCACAGAATCACAGAACGTTAGGGGTTGGAAGGGACCTCTGAAGATCATCTAGATCATCAATGCAGGCTTCCTGATTTATTAATCTACTACTTATTACTGTTATAAAAAAAATGCCAGAGTCCATCTGCTTGAAGACCAGGCACTATTCAAGGAGATTTACAGCTGCTTTAGGTCAAACACTAAAGAATTAATTTCCTATTTGAGTGCAAGTAGTTGTCGTAGAAGCAGCACACAGCATCTAGATCCTGACACCACAGGGAGCTCGGGCACGTGCGGAGCAGCTCGGGATGCGCTCGTGGCCATGCTCAAGCAAGCAGGTGTGGGACGGACCTGCACAAGAGCACACGCAAGCTCCACCACGCCTGCATCACTGACCTTGCACTAGAAAAACAGACACTAAGACTTGTCCCAACTGGAGACTGCCCATGACCATGAAAAATGCCATCGTTTGTAGCCAAGAAGTACCGCGTGAGAGACAAACCGACGCTGCACCTGTGCACCTCCCCAGCACATGCAGAGAGGGGCAAATTAAGCAGACTGCTTTGGGCTTGCTTCCTCCTTTGCTTAACATGATGCTTCTGCCATTTTCTCTGTACCTGCCCGATCCAAACGGAAGGGATTTAAGTTACCTCTGACAAACTGCTGACAGACAAAGGCGAAGTGCTCAGCCCCGAGTCCCACCACACACCCAGACCAGGTCCCTCTCCAGGTTCATGAGCATCTCTGGATTTCCTCTGCCACTGAGTCCTTCCCCTCCTACCTGAAGCCCAGCAAATCCAGGGGCTATTCCGCACCCACGAGGTACTTGGGCCCAGGGCCAACCACATAAGTAGGATTTACGGGCCTTCCAGACAGATAAAATTTTACAACCCATTTTTAAGAGCCTACTGGCTACGGCTGGTTGAATTCTGTGGTGGGTTTTTTTTTTCTTTAAATATTTCTGTATGCAACAAACTAGAGTTGCACGACAACTGTATTTCATCACAGCAAACTAGCCAGTGCTGAGAAGGGTAGGGTTTAGGATTGCTTTAGGGTTGATTTCAATCATTTTCCTGACAGTGACCGACACAAAAAAAATCCCTACTGGGTGTGTAATACTGTCAGCAGTTTGAAGCACTGTGCCCTCATCTTGACTCTCAGCACCATAATACTAATGGGTTATTTATCTAGGTAATTACAGCAGCATTTATTTATTGTTCTATTACATCCATTACAACACCCAAAGTTTAGGATTTGGGCATGGACAGCTTGATTCCAGCACATAAACTTTTCTATTTCATGCAGCCCTCCCTACAGACACCCCTCTCACACCGCAGATCTCTGCACAGCACATAAGATCTCTTACACAAATATCCAAAACAGCAGTTACCCACTGGTGGACCACCATCTTTTTCCCCCATTACTTTTGAGTAGGCTTAAAAAAAAAAAAAAATCTCTCTTTTTCCACCCAGACTTCACTCTCTACCCACTTAGGATCTAATCGCAGCCTTGCACAAATTATTGAGGGGCTCCCATGCCATGCTGCAGAGCTCTGCAGGACCATGAAAAAGGAGAGGCAGAGCTTAGTGCAGGGCCAGTTAAAGCTTTTCCTGAGCAAGGTCAATAGACAAGCCACAAAAACACTTCTCTAAAACCCTGAGCTCCAACTTCATTCTCAGCTACTACCTTATTTTCTAGGAGTAAACCATATTTGCATGATCAAACATTTTTCTTCAGAATTCATAGAGCAAAATTTTCTTGTGGGTCAGATCTGATAATTATTCTACACACTCGCTCTCGCTCTGCCAGATTTACCCCTGTATTTCTCCAAAAGTCACTCCTTCACCAGCTAGCTGGGACTCCATAATTCTGCGTTTCTCCCTCAGGCGTAAGTTAATGTCAGAGCTGTGGAGGCAGCGGCATGTTTCACAAGGCCAACAGGGGCACAAGCTCCAGGTGGAGCTCTTGGAAAACCAGACTCATCTCTGCAAAACCTCCGATCCTTAGGCCTGAGCTGGTCTCTGCTTATAAGCAAACTCTTACAATTCCACTCAGGTAAAACATGACAAACAACTGCACAAATTCTGTCTCAGTTTGAGGACAGATAAAACCCGTGTGATTTCCATACTCAAGTAAGCTGTGAATTTTATCCTCATGCATGAAGCCTTATGCAAGATTTAAACCACGAACGCTCAGGGGATTAATTCATTCTCCTGGAACAAGGATCTAAAGCAAAAGAGCTGTTTTCTTGCTATTTTAAAGCCTGTGAGTCGCATTTCCATCTGCACCAGCATCCCTTTTTCGGTATGAGGGCCAGGGGTGCAAAGCAAGAGGGCTTTCAGGGCATTTACTGCACCAGAAGCTCCAGATTTAGTTTAGTTCACTCCTTCTTCCCAAGAGTCAGATATTTTTTCCTGTTCTTCTTAAAAACAATCCCCCCAACTTTCAGACTCCTATGGTCATGCTTCACTTGGTCTGTGTTTCAAGACCTTTAATACTGTTGCTGGCAATGTTATTCCCAAAAGGCATTTCTTTTTTACACCAAAATGTTTCTTTGTTTGTGAGATGCATCAAGGTGGCTGTACAAAACAATGCCCAGAACAATAACGCTCAAGCACGGAGTGGCTCCCAGATTCCAGATACTGATTTCAGCCACTCAGCCACCAGGAAAGAAGCTCAGGAAGAGATTTTTCACAGAAGTCTAGTGTATGCCATGTAAACCAGAACTGACAAGAATGTTGGGTTAATATCAAGGAATGGGATTTGCTGCCTAATTTCTTCCTTCAGTTAGATGCAAACTGACAGAACCATACGAGTGGGAATTGTTGGCCCCTGAATAAGGGATTAATTTTTTGTTGTTTAGAGTCTCAGCCTGCAACTGGTGATTCCTGATAGTAAATCCTGGCTTGGTTACTGAAGGCAAGAGAGATCACCCTTGTCCTGTGTGCTTTCTTGCTGCTTTATTGGGAAATTTCTCTCACACCTGAAATAGTTGAGGACACTAGTCACTAAATTTAACTGTCATAAAATTGACAATCAGTGTCAAATGCCTTTTTCCTCTAAAAAAATCGGATCTTACCGATAATACTAGCAGAGACTCGAGATCAAACCTGACAGAACGTGGAGCAAGGAATGTAGCATCTGAAGTTCCTGCAGCTTCCAACCTTGGCTGTGCACGACTCCCTGGAGGCGGCCTGAAGGATCGACCGTTATTCTGCTGTGCACTAACTACAGCTGATTTACGTCCAGGGAGTTCTCATTTGTGCTGCCCTGTGCACCTGGTCAGACATGGGGACAAACTCTTTGTCTAGGTCACACCATGTAAGAGGCACTGCTGCCTCTCAGCTCCTTGCTCCAGCCATCTCACAGACAACATACGCTGCTGCCAGGTGAGGAAGGCCAAACAACCAGGAGCTCTCTCCCTCTACTCCCACTCTCATTCCCCAAGCGTACCTGTGTGAGATGCTCTGGCCTGGTTCATGGGGGACACCGGGCTCGCGCTGGTCCTGTGCTGAGGCACAGCTTTCACGCCTGCCGAACACTTACGCCGCAAAGCCACTCTCTCCGCTTGGCTTTTTACAGCTTTTTTCCTCTCGCCAGACTCTTTGCTCCGGAGAGGTCTAAAGATCGGGTTTGTCACTTTTGTTTTAGCGCTTCGGCTCCGGCCGTTCTCTTTGCTCACATCTAATTTCAGTGGCGCATCTCCCGGGGAGCAGGAGGACACCCGGCAGGCAGCTGGCAGCTAACCCAGCGCAGGGGTTTGAAACCCAGACGCGGCCACGTGGGCTGTGCCTGGAGCTCCCGACTCGAGCTCTCAGTCTGTTGAGCGCTCAGCTTAAAACCATGGCGCGCGCTTGTTTAAAACCAGAGGTGTTCTTGCCGGCAAGCAGCAAAACGAGCAAACGTGTCTAAGGACAACCTGCGCTTCTCGCTGAAGTACTCTGTTTGCTACGGGGTGAGCTTTACACTGAATAGCTTTATAAAATCATGGGTAATATTTAATTCCCAGGCTGTTCCTAGCTCCAGCCATACAAACAGATGCTACTAAAAAGCAATTACAGGAAGGTAAGGGTAGGCTGATTTCGGCCCTACAGGAGATAAACTAAAGCTGCATATAAACGCATCAAATGCCAAATACAAAGTCAGATAGAGGGGATCTCATTTCAGCATTGCTATGCTTTACCTTCAGAACTAAGGAAGCATGACTGCTATTTCTATTTTCGATATTCAGTCCTGAATATAGCTATTTCTTGACTTTTATCACATATAGATGCTGGTTAGCTTCAACAGCACAACAAAAAATAATAATGCTTACCACAGCAATTATTTCGAGTAAAGATAAAAACCACATGATGCTACAACAAGGAGCTCTACCAAACAACAGCCCATTTTTTCAGGCTGAAGAACACCTTCATTTCCACAAATTCCCCCATCCTTTCAACTCAGAACTAGGTTGCAAAAACCTCAAGCAAACAATCGCAACTGCAATATCCAGACTGTGTCGCAGCAGACATTTTACAGTAAAGTGCTTTTCCTAACAACAGGGCAATAAAACCTTTGAATATATCTGTCTGAAACCTCTAAAAAACTCCAGACCATAACCAAATTTTTCCTTGTTTTGTCTTTTTTTGTTAAAAAATGGAAAAGCTATGAGTTTACATATTTCCTCACAACCACACCAGCAGTATCTACGGATAACAAGCAAATGTGAAATCTCTGAGGCTTTGTGCTACATTCAGAATACCAAGACCATTTTTGTTGAAACCACACCAAATCCTTTGACCTATTTCTCAGCTTGACATGTTTGAACTTACGGTTTTTTAATTATTTTTTTTTTGCCTTTTTATTTTCTTTTCTGTGTGTTAACCCTCACAACTATCATTTTACCTGGCCACTTCCTTGTAGATACAGAACCAGTGGTTCGGTCTTGGGGATGGTCACCCACATTTTGTACCAAGTCTTCCCTTTTTCAAGGAACTGGAGGTAGCTGCTGAAGAGGCTGTTCTCAGCTGCTAAGACACTTTGCTTCTGGATGAAGAGAAAAAAAAAGAAAAATATATAAAAGAGCTGTTTTCATTGATGCTTACATGGGCACAATACTTAGAATGAAGCATAAAACAGACTTAATCGAAGTTGTCCAGTGTCAAATAATACCTTAGGGCAAATGCTGGGTAGCCCACAAATGAGAATTATTAGAGAAATAAAGAAATAGTACAATTTTGTGTAACAGAGGCAGATGCCAAACTACTGTTCCCAAGGTTAAACTCCACCTGCACCAAGTAAATTGAGAATGGTAATTAAGATGATGCACCTAGTTTCTTGCTTAGCAAAGTAGGCTGGAAGATAGTTTCATATTAATGCAAAAGGTATGTGAACAGACATGTGTGTGGATGCAGAGAGACGTGAATCAAAACAGAGTGCGCTACAGCGAAAAAAAAAAAAATTGTAAGAAATTTTTCTCTTCTGATAGAAAGCAGAGAAAGCCAAAATTCTTGTTCGCATTGGACTTTGCACAGAAGTCTCCTGGGGATTTCTGGCACCAGCTCTTAACATCTGTAAAGCAGAACTCTCCTCAGCCGCTGAGGAAGTTTAATGTAACTAGGAGGGAAAGAAAAAGCCTGGCTCTTCTTACACACCTGCTTTCTTGCATTTTACCTGATCCTTTGAAGATTTAGCGGAAGGCTAGAAGCCGGAGCCTATGAGGGAAAATTGACTCTTTCTCCTTGGGTTTTTACAGCTTTCTGCTGTAATCCGCTTCCTAAAGCGAAGCCATCGGTCACACACCACCGGTTTGCTTTTTGGCTTTTCAGAGGAACAGGGCTTGTGGCTGGGTGGGCGCAGGTTTTCCTTTTGCCGGCGAACAGCTCTTGCTGAAACAGGGCTAGAATGTTTACCGTGAGATACCGCAGACTCTACTGATGCATATTAATTGCTCATCATCTGCAGGCACAGCTGTAGCGCAGTACTGAAGTTTTTGACGGTATCAGGCTCCGGATCTGGAATCTTCTCGGCGTTCTGCAGAGGTGGTAGCTCAAGGACGGGAAAAGTTTGTGGCTTTACCTCAATTTCTATTCCTGAGATTCTGACAAAGACCCTGAGCAGCAGCATTCACTCTGGGGCACTGTGTATTTTTATCTGTGTAGGTACCTTTAGCAGCCTGGAAAGAAATGGCATGCTTGGAAGCAGAGCCAGGCAGAATTTAAGAAGACTCTTTGATGAAACATTTAATTATAGGAGCTCTGGACAGGCACTGGCAGATTTACACTCCTTGCTCAGCATCCAGCTCTTTTCCACGCAGTTTGGTTCCAATGAGGAGTGTAACAAGGTGAAGAAGCAGTCTGATGGCTCGGAGGGGTGGCTTCTAGAAAGATGCTTTTTAAGGTAAGACGTTTTTTCAGTACAGGCTGCATACATTCCCCAATTTTCCAGCCAATGCTCAGGTGTCGCTCAGCGTATCGAGGGGAAGGACGGTTTGCAACAAAGTTCAATTCTCAGTGTTTCAGCAGCTCTTTCAAGAATTCCATGTCCCTGTGGGTCCACTTTGAATTGAGATGAACGTCCTCTTTGACACACGCAGTGACTTCTGGCTCTGCTTCACAGGTAAAATAAATAAGTTCTTCAAGGTGGCCCATGAAAAGAGTGGCACATAACGATACTCACGGCTCTGCCCGTAGTCTAAAAAAAGCATTGGTAAGAAAAAGTTCAGTTGCTGTGGGTGAGAATAAAAGAAATCAGTGTCCTTGCAAAAAAAAAATAAGGGTAGGATGTGCCGCTATCGTGGTATAAAGCTTGGTGACATCTATGGCAATTGCGAAGCAGCAGTTTACAGAGCAGAACTTGTCGAAGTCGAATCTTGGAGAGAAGAGTCTGCATTAGAGCAGGTTTGGGAAAGTTTCAGTGAATCCTGTCTTTCAGGAGGATGCCGTGCTTTTGCACGATCAACTACGAAACACTTCATTTCAACAGCATTTTGCGAAATAAGGAGTGCAAAAACATCTTTTATATGGAGTTAAAAGGGAAAAAAAGCATCTTACTTTGCCAAGTTTTGCCAACAGCTGTTGTGCACAGCTCAGGATCGAAAATGCACCATAAGAAAAAGAAGTTAGAAGCTTCTCCTCTTTTTTTGTTACTCTGAAAGCGTAGCTGCAAAACCTGTGTGTGCCCCCGTACAATCAGCATTCTATGATGAACGCTGGCTGTTTCCAAACGACATTCATTCAGGCTGTGTGCACATTCAATACAAGTTACAGGCCAGAGTGTCGAATATCACGGTAGGGGAAGGAAGATAACCAAACAATTTGATTTGATTTAAATAAATACATTTGAAAAAAAAAAAAAGGGAGAGTCTCAGAAGGGCAGCTAGCACACCAGCAGTGTCGTAGCTAAATACTGTACCTCTGCAGCCAGTCTCTTCTTTTGTTCTCCCACTGCTTCCACTCCAGGGCTGCTGGGGCTTGCTGGTAACTGCAGAAAACACTCTTTACACACTCGATTATGACGGCTGTTATCCGCAAGTGGCTTAAACTCAGAGCATTTTGCACAGATCACCTGTGTGAGAAAGATGGTGTTGCATCAGCCATCATGAAAACATAACCCTTCTCCGCACAAAGTGACTGGCAGAATGTTTGTCATTAAACCAAAAGTCTGGAAAACTAACGTAAGCAAAAGATAGAGTAACCAACGTGATATTTTACATTATTTACCTCCACAAATAATTCATGTTTTTGCGATCCCCTGCCGTGTACCAATATACCTAATCAAAGAAAACATATGCCTTTTGGGACATACTTTATGATTAACACCGTGCAAATTTGCTTTTCTTATAAGCCTTTGGCTTAGGTAGACAAAGCAATTAGTGGTTTTTAATGCCAATCACAAGATGGTTTAGGAAGGACTGATTTTTAGAGTACAGGTGGCTGATGCTTCCTCATCACTTGGGCAGTCCATCCTGAGAGAGCTGAGGAATCCAAAACCCGCTGACTGCTCACAGAGTCCAGTGCTTTACCCACTTAAATCCATTTGTGAAGCAGGACGGGGCTGCAGCTCCAGAAGGTTTTCCATGCTGAAAACCGGACTCTACCCGGGTGGGAACTGTCCCCGGGGTGCAACGCAGGGGCAGCCCCTCAACTAGACATCCACTCAGAATTTACTCTTCAATAATACACCACCAACACCCTTGAGGCACCAGGGTACGTTAGGATACGCTTGACTGCAAGCTGTTAATTACTATATGAAGGGAATCGCCTTAATTCACCAAGTGTTAAGCAAAGCAATTTTGCCAAATTCCACAAACAAAAGCAAGCTGGTGTTTTTAGAAACACGGCAGCCTTTGACTTCGAACGCTATTGCCACATGGCAAAACGTCCCATAACCAACACATGTTTAGAGATAAATTATTAATAACATAATTCTTGTTACCTCTCTGTCCATGAGGGAAAGCTATTATTTCATTTCTCCAATAATACTAAGCTTTGCAATGGGACATTTTAAACCTCCAGAAATGGATTTAAATATTTTAGTAATTATTATTAAAAACAAACCTGGAAGGTTGAAAATCCTAACTCCAGTGCAAAAGTGTCACCTCTACAGTAATTTTATTCCAATTGCTGATACTGAGGCTTCTTCAAACACCTTAACTACACATTTAGGTGTCTCTTCAGCTGAAAAGTTATCTCCACTTCAAATGAAAAATGGTATTTAAATAATATGCTGTACTAGTTACATTAAGAAGACTGAACTGTGAAACTCAAGTCACAGAAGGCAGGTTTTAAGCCATATTACAGAAACCAATCTCATCTTGGCTGTGATTTTCAGAAAAAATAAACAGGGAATTAAGCTGCCAGTGACTAGCACTGGGGAAGGATGGCAAAGTACCTTCAGTGACCTGGCCTTGAATCTCCAGGACTGTTTTTTTGCACTTTTTGGACTGCAGGAGGAAACCACTTTGACAACTCTTGCTTTAGGGAAAAAAAATGCATCCATCTTTAATATTGTATGTTCAGCTGTTCACCCTAGAAAGAGCTGCTGTGTGAAGCAGGGCTGTCAGAAGGCCACTGTGTTTCTGCAAATGAACTAGAGGGCACAACTCTCTCCCCAGACACATGCGCATCCCCAGGGAAGGCACTACCTTTCCTTTTATCCACCGTATTTGCCTTTAAATAGACCCCTTGCACCAGAGTTTTGCTGCTTTCCTCTGATTCCCAGAGAGCAAAGCAGGCAGAAAGATCTCTGCCAATGACCTGTCATGAACCAGAACATCCTTTAGTTCCTGTGCTGGAAAAAAATAAATAAATTCTCTTCAGCAGTCTCTGCAGAAGAAACAGAAAGGCTGAGCGCAGTGCGATACTTACAGCCCCACACTGCTTACAGTGGTGCCGCCTCTTCGTGATGGAGTTAAAGCTCTCGCTGCAACTCTTGCAAGCCTGTTTCTCCTTGTCTCGCTTGGATTTGGAAGATTTCCTACAGGAATCGCTCTGAAATGAAAAGTACAGTTGTGTGATTTTTATTTTTTTCCAAAAATACATCCCTCAAACCTCGAAACAATTCATAGACTTCTCCAACTGACAAAGATCCTCTTTGGGTTTCACAGCATTTTAGAACAGAATTCAGGCCAGCTCTGCTGATGGTCTGTGGCTCGATGGCTGGCTCAGGCCGCAGGTGTGTTTCTGGTGTGGCATTACGTGGTCTCGGACTGCTAAAGCCAATTTCTCAAGTCCCTCTCTGCCCACTCGTGTCCTTACTGCCACCAACTGTTCTCCTCTCGGTGTCTTTTGGGCAGGAGGAGGAAGAATTGGCAACATGGACTTCTTGAGACGAGCTTTCCTTCCTGTGCTCACCTCTTCCTCCCCGCTGCAACCTGACCTGGCTAAGGCAAACGCTGCTGACTTTGTGAGAGCACTGAAAAACTTGTCTGTTCGTGGGGAGGAGATGTGAAGGCTTTGGGAAAAATAGCTTGACTGAAGCAGTGGCGCTGGCAGGGGATTAGTGCACCACCCGACATCAAATGCGAACTCAGCAGTTTCCTCAGGCTCCCTCCCAGCCCACGACGAAACACAAAGCTTCTCAGGAAGTCAGGGACACCTGTACCAGGACCTGTGATCAACTGCTCTCAGCAGAAGACACTTTCTATCAGCTGTCTAGGTAGCCAAGTGAGTTTAGCCTATTGAGCGGCTGAGGGAACTGGGTTTGCTTAGTCTAGAGGAGAGGAGACTGAGAGGAGACCTTATTGCCCTCTAAAACTACCTAAAAGGAGGTTGTAGCGAGGCTGGTGTTGGTCTCTTCTCTCAAATTAGTAATGATAGGATGAGGGGGAATGGCCTCAAGTTGTGCCAGGGGAGGTTTAGATGAGATATTAGGAAGAAATTCTTCACTGAGAGGGTAGTTAGGCACTGGAACAGGCTGCCCAGGGAGGTGGTGGAGTCGCCATCCCTGGAGGTGTTTAAAGAACAAATAGATGTGGCGCTTGAGGATATGGTGTAGTGGTTAGAGAAATGCTGGGAAAAAGGTTGGACTTGATGACCCTGGAGGTCCTTTCCAACCATAAGGATTCTGTGATTCTGTGATTTAAGCTAAGCACCTGAAAGTTGGTACATAAACTCACTTGGTGTAGTTCAACCCAAACATACAATTTTCTGATAAACTCAAGAGCATTAACGTGACGATGTGTTGTTCACAAAAACACAGCTTTGCACAGGACTTCGAGCAGATGCCCTGTTTTGTTTTCTTTTTTAAATAGATAAATACTACTCCTCCTTCCCCACCCAGATGGCTACGTGCAAGGGAACCGGGCTTACGCTTGGGGTCACCCAAGCCAGGCAGCATCCGTGCGGAGATATGAGCCCAAAGAGCACGTCTGCACTGCGTTCCTCCAGCACAGCTCTTTCATTGATAACTCTCTTCATTTTCATCTCCTTGACACAATCATCTAACAAACTGCTGGAAGAAGAAATGTTTCCTCTAAATCAAAAGAGTGGAGGTATTTCACATTTTTTGTGCAAATCAACCAGGTGAAGATCAGGCCCCTCGTAGGTTATGCAGATTCTGGACTGCTTTGACACCCCACTGCCTTCCTTAAGTTGTGGCTTACTACGCACTTAAGTCCCCTTGAGAGAGAACAACTGGCTTAACAGATTTCCTCTGCTTCAAAGCCTCTGCTGCTGCCTTTCCTCGCACCCCTACATAAGCAGGAGGATGTGCCTGATGGTAATTCCATCAGGCAAACCCCTGCCCTTCTCTCTAAAGTCTCACCGTAGCGGTTATGACTAACCTGCAGAAGTCACTAATACAGTTTTTCCAGGCCAAGTGTTAAAAACAATTAAAAACAAAATCAAAACTTGTAAGCTGACACCGCTCTCTCATCTTTCAGCCTCCTCGAGTCTCTGCCCTGCCATTCCCTGGTAACAGAGAAAGGCACATTGTCTTTCAGCAGAACTATTGAAACCACCCTGGCTTGTAATGGCATTACACAACAAACCCATAACTAATTAGTTCTAATTGGATTGGATCTCTTAATTTTCATTATCTTTTACACAGCTGAGAAAGCGATGTTTCAAACTTGTATACAAGCACACAGGATGTTTTGCAGCTTGGTTTGGTGAGGCAGACTCACACGGATCTTTTAATTCAGGAAAATCACTATAGCCCCATTCCCGCACATATTCATCGCTCAGCAAAATGGAACGCCGGCGAATCCAAGTCCTCCCACACGCAGAAATGGAGCACAATATTTCACTTTTCTTGTGAAGAACCAGATATAACCAGTACAATGCTGAACCACACCAACTGAACAATGCCTCGGATGAATCGCTGGCAAAAACATTCCTTTCAGAATCAATGAAACCCCTCCAAGGAAGGCTTATAATTACGGCGATGCGAAAAGCTTTTTTCTGATCAGCAGCAATCTACTGAGCGACTTTTTTTATTTGTATCACATATATTGGCTAAAGCCACCCATATTTCTGACTCTGGTTTGGATGCTAATGCTATTTAATTTTTTGGAAGATGGATTTCCCTCCCACTGGCTAGGGATGGATTCCCCTTAAGTTGTTTGATCAGAGCATTTGCTCACTGGTCAACCTTCTGTTTTCCCTCTGCATCCAATTTGCAAATGGCATAACAAGCCTTTTGATCCTTATGCTAACAGCAATTTCACCAGTGTTACTGGAGCAAGAGCATAAACGAAGGGGCACCTTTAGCCTTGTGAGCTGTGACTGGAAGGTAGTCTTGACAAAGACTAAACATAACCCACGTATGGCTTTCAATCGATACCGACATGTGTCTGCATAGGAAAAATGCTGAGGTTCCTCTACTGTGGATTGAATGGAGTGCTTCATGTGGAAATGGGTTAATTTGATTTGTACGTCAATGAGAATATCTATCATCACCCACATGCATGGTTCTTTAGCACAGCTAAGACTCAGGTTGAGTATTTCCTCTAATGGATCACGTATTTGACATTGCCCTCAACGTGAAACCATCTGGACAATGTTCACTTTCAGAAACACATGACCCATATATTTGATAAAGGAACGAAAGCAGAAGGGGTACCGTAACTGTCGTAACAAATCTTGCCCGTTACGCATGAGCTTTTCTTTTAGACCATTACATTTTAAGTTGTGCTGTAGTGTACAACAAGCGTTTAATACTAACTTCACTGATCAAAAAAGGGCTTGTATGAAGAGGTCTTGAAGTGTTTGATGAATACCAGCAATGTCTCCTAATATTTCTCAACACTATGAGAACACAGTGAGAACACACTGAAACATTGCTACTGGAGCTGTAGAAAAGATAAGAAAAACAAAAATGTATTTTCTTTACGACTTGGCAAATTCCAACAAGCAATTATAGGAGAAAGACTTATTCAATACTATATTACTTAACTGCTGACACTGAGAAAGAATTAAGAAGCCCTTTGCTTTCCACTGCTTAAACCTGACTTCCCTGCATGGGCACTGCCCCATCCCACCCAGAGACAGCTCAGGAAGTTGACCCTACCATGTCCTCTTAACTAGACCCTGTCTGAAGAGAGAGGGTTTTGTAGACAAAAAGGACATGAACTGTGACTCACAAACCTCGTCTGTCAAAGAGAAATTTAGCAGTCACCTGGCAACTTATTCCACAAGCTACGTTATTTACCGCTGATGTATGTTAAGACAGAAGTAAATACAAAGCTGCCCTAGCTTCAACCGGAGTATCTTGATACTAATGCGCTTGAAAAATTGTATTTCTCACCTTCCTCACTGTACCCAGTTCTATTTTGAAGCTGGTGAGTCTTGACAGAATACCTCTTCAGAGTCAGGTTCTGCAATGGCTCTGGTAACACTGGGCTGTTTTGACCACTAATTCGTTTTTGCTCTACAGCTGCATTTAACTCTCCAAATCTTGATAGTTCCCTCCAACTTTAGCCATATATACCCCAGCGAGGGGTTGAAGTTGTGTCTAGAGCTAAGTGACACCCCGTGGCTGGCCTGCTCAGGAAAGCAGACGTCACATCAGCAGTGAACCACAGGAGCCTCATCTGCTTTCGAAAGCAGGGAAAAAACACCAAAGAGCTGGTAGGAACAGCAAGAAAACCAGTGGGCTCAGGAGATTGTTCTGTTATTTGTTACTTGCTATATAGATTTTGCTCTGTCTGGGCCAGTAAATAGAAATCAAACAGTGGGATGAGACTCTTCCACGGGCAGACGCACGAGCACGCCCATACGTCCTGCTCCTACGGCTGCTTATTCTCCATTTACAAACTATCTACTTGGAGACACCCACAAGGAGGCAGAATGTCAGCAGCTGCTCGCAGAACGCGCTGAACGCACCTGAGAAATGATCCAGTGTGGTGTCTTTTGTACTTGGTAACGCAGCAAAAACTGCTTTCCTCGTCTCTCCACACGACGACGCCAGGCACAAAGCGACCTTCGCCCGGCTCTTACTTGCCTTGTGCACGTAGAAGGTCGAGGGCAGCCGAGAGCCCCGCTCCAAGAGGGTTTTACCCTCCCTGCAGCAGGTTTTCACCTCCTGGTTACACCAGAAAAGCCCAGCAGGCTCTCCAGGAGGCTCAGCAGAACCCAGGGCAGGAGCTGGTGGTTCGTTGACCACCACCACCACCAAGTGGTCCGCCCGGGGAAGCTGCCAAGCACGGAACGTACCCGCTCACCGAGCTGTTTTTCTAAAGGGAGGCCATCATTAAAAATTAATGGTTTGTAAAGCTGCGACTCAGGGCTGAATTCACTCCCTCACGCTGATGTTATCCCACTTGCTACAACGCAGCAGAACGAGATGCCAGAATCAATACTACAAAATGTTGGGGTATTTTTAGCTTCATGTTTTTGATCAACTCCATTTAGATTTCTATTTCAGGAATTAAATTTTTCTTTAAACACACAACTTAAGGAAAAATACTTAACGTGTCAAAATACCCTATGCAAATCGCTGACACAGCCATTCATCACCAGCTAAAAAGATCTATCTTTTTTTATTTAATTACAACTAAAATTTACATTTCCCTAAGAAACTTAAGACCAACAGAAATTTTTTTAAACACTACTGAAAATACTTTTTTCACTAAGTAGCTAGCTCACTATAGCATTTGTAACTGAAGGAACAGCGGCACTAATAGCCGAACTGACTACAAATAAATAAAAAATTGCAGAGGAAAAATAGGAATTGTGGAGAAACAATAATGAGCAATTACAAACAGCTACTTTTAATTAGCTCTTGTCTGTATAGGTCAGGTTGCTGCCTTGTCTAACAGCTTTTCATTGATGCTCTGTAAACTGTCGGTAGGTTACAAGCTTGCCCAGAGGTCTGGAAGTGCTTAAGCAGCTCCTTTGCTACTAAAAGAGTCACGCTAATACCAGCTTTTCTTTGCTGCTCTATAAACTCTACCGGTAAGTTACAAGCTTGCCCAGAGGTCTGGAAGTGCTTAAGCAGCTCCTTTGCTACTAAAAAGTCACGCTAATACATAACAGCCTGTAGTATGTCTCAGTAGAGGAGGTGTGTTTTTTTGGTTGTTGTTTCTTCTTGTTGCAGCCTTTTTCAGTAAACTCAGCTGAGTCTAAAGAATTTCCTGGAAATCCATTGTTCTCAGAAGGTATTTTAGCAGGGAGAGGTAGGAATGCTAAAAAATAGACCTTATTAAGGACTCAAACCCCCTGGTTTGACCTAGCAGCAGTCAGAGTGTATATAGCAAAATGAAAATTGCTTTAAAAAGTTTATTTTGCCCTTGCAGCAGCCAACCACTTACAGGCCAGAGATGTATTAAAGTACCATCATCTCCTCCTCTGCGTTGGCAGAAACACGAAAAGCACACTATAAAGGAAGTGTTAATCAAAATTTGGTTCTGGAGATGAAATCCTGAGTTAGAGAATATGACAGCATTAACCAGCCAGGTTTCCTTGTCTCTCTTTGCCCTCCTTCCTCCAAGCATTCATTGTAGCTCCCTATCAGAAATCAAAACCAAACAAAAAACCCCGCACCAAAAAGCCCCCCAAAGCTACAAATGTAACAGCCAAGTTCCCTCCAGCTCCATTCCCCAAAACTAGGCTCATGCACACGTGGAAAAGGAGGATTTTAAATCCACTGATGGTGCAAACGCTGCAAGCAGCGGCAGGCGTAACTTACCCAAGAAGTTAACGACAGCTCAGTTGCAGCAAAAGACAGCAGAACACAACCCGACAGTCTGAAGCATCTCTGATTATTTTCTCTCCTAACAAACACAAAAGAAATCCAACTCACCTCCCCCCGCCTTGCTCTATCAAAAGAATTAGCTTCAAACCACTCACTCACCCCTCCAAACGCACCACCGCCATCTGCTCCCGGCATCGATTCCACGGAGCTGGTGCTTGCTATCTGTGGGAAACAGAGCGTCACACAACAGTTTTGACATGGACATTCTCCCTAAACTACAGTCAACATTGGAAGAAAAACAATTTGCTTTTAGCCCTCACTATTTGCTTGCAGATACACGTTACCCACCTGTGTACTCCAATGTTGCCCAGGAGGGGGTGACTTTATGGGGGCCTGCTCTGGGGTGCAGCCTGTCCCTGCCCCCCAAAAGAACCACGAAAAGCCAACGGCCACAAATGCAATTACACCGCCCCACCTGAGCCAGGTGAGCCAAACGAGCTACGGCTTTGTCTAGTCAGTGCATTCCATTCAAACAGTACTCAGGTAAGTTTTTCTTAATTGCAATACATCTCTCAAATCTCTTAACAAATGCAGGCTGGTATCTGTATGTATTCAATATGTACAGAGAGCAAGTAACAAGCTTAAGTGCACCTGTCATTCCCATACATTATCCTTCCTTGCCAATGAGACACCATCTCCTGTTCCACAGTTATCCCCATCTCCAGTGCATTTTCGCACTCTCACAGAACCACAGAATCGAATCATAGAATGGAATCACAGAACAGCCTAGGTTGGAAGGGACCTCAGAGATCATCTAATCCAACCTCACTGAGCTGCTCCAGCCCCTGGATCATCTTTGCGGCCTCCTCTGAACTCGTTCTGACAGATCCATGTCCCTCTTACGCTGGGGACATCAGAACTGGACGCAGCATTCGAGGCGGGGTCTCAAAAGAGCAGACTAAAAGTGTAAGAATCACCTCTCTTGCTCTGCTGGCCACCCTCTTCTTGATGCACCCTGCTTCATTCCATTTGAAAACAAAAAGGTTTAATCTCCATTAGTAGAAACAACCTAAACTTTAGCTTTGTGTAAGCAGCCAAACTGAAGAGCTAATCATTCTGATACCTAGTTGTATCTCTTAATACGCTAACACAAACAATTCACTCTCAAGAACAAGTCAACAACAACTGCATCCCCTGGGACTACGGCTGTGCCACCCCTGGGGCATCTCCTCAGGGAATGCAACTTAATTAAGGGAAGCATCATGTACTCAACTCCAGCCAACTATTTCTCCCTCTACTGAACCTCAGGAACCCTAGGGTCTGCACGTCACCTGTTCCCCAGCCCTGTGGAAAGAGGTTTCTTTCCACTGGCATCTTAATCAAGGCAGGCATTTAGATCCCTGTCCCCAGTAAAAGGACACCTGAGTGCCACAACAAGGGATGAAAAATGTAGTGGGGAAAGGAGCCTGAAGGAAAGATCGAGAAAACCCCCAGCAAGTTTAGGGGAAAGAGCAAATTTCTCTAGTCGCCTGTTCAGATCCCTAGACCTTTTAAGTATTAAAACTTATTACTTGCAGTAATGTATTAAAAATCAAATACCCTCTACTCTTCACTTGGAGAAGATTTCCAAAGGGCTTCTCCCCGTTTTGCTGCCATCACCATGAACGTGTGTACGATTTGGTATGGAGAAAGACAGTTATTCCCATGTTTGTCAGAACTACCCCAGGCTAGGGGAAGGAATAGAAATGAGGGCAGGAAATAATGATGACTTAGAGGGATCTAAAAATCATGGTTTAACTAAGAGAAGCACTCCCAAGTCTCAGCTTTTAGGGAAGCCACCTGCACAGAGCTCAGCTCCCTGCAGCACTTTTCCTTGGCAGCCTGCTAAGGGTTCACAAAGCGGGTGCTTCCCCCATGAGCCTCCAACTCTTCTGAACTCAAGCAATGGTAAAAAAAGGTCTTTCTCCCTGGGAACATTTTTAAAAAAATAAACCCTACCCTTTGCACAGCCAAGATATGCTGCAGACGAAAATGGAAATCAGGGAAACGAGCATCCTCTTTCTGACGGAATCAAGCCATGAAGAGACCTTGAAGCTTTCTGAAAAGACTTCTGGAGAAGAGCAGTGCTGCAGTCTCCTAGCAGGGGACTGGCTGGCCAGGACCGAATATTCACCTCTCAACAAACGGGAGTTTATTAATTGCTGTAGATTATTGCATAGGCATAATCTTAAGAATTAGGTCCGATGTCAGATCTCTGCAGTCCAAGAACCCACAAGCCTTCTGCAGGCAAATCACAGCTGAAGATCAACCCTTAATGCTTGTATGAGCTTATGTACGTCAGTGGAAAACAAAAGCACGGTAAGAGCTCCATGCAGAGGCACGTGTTGCTCATGCAACTGAAATCCATCATAAGAACTTCAACATATCAGATGTACAGTCAAGGACAGGAGAAAAGCAATTTGGCTACTTTTCTACAGGCTTATAGAACCAGAGTCCAATTCCTAGTAGCTGTTACAGATCCAGCCTGGAAACTACAAGTGCATATCTCTCTCCTGACTCATCAGTGCAAAAAATGAAGATTATTGTCATTTTTTCCTCTAAAGCACGCTGCCCGATATTCCATAAAGATGACGAGATATGTATGGTGGATGCTGTCTGGAGCCATGTACTGCTACTAAGGATGCTCTCGGTATTTGTCCCGTTTTCTCCATACAGAACCACCTTCAGCTCTTTTCAATTGACAGCAATTTCTGCTACATTTAGCTGTGACATCAGTTTTCAAAGCTGATTATCCAGATAAGCTAATCTCCTCAAAATGCAGGTTAGCATTCTGGCATAGAAGAAATTGAGGCGCACACTGTGTGAGTATCACAGCCAGGAGACAAACCAGACCTCTGCTCTGCTTGACTTTTATGAAGCAGTAGAGTATAAACATGTGGCTGTACCATTAACACAGAAACAAAATAAAAAGGAATTTACTAAGCAAGATAACAATAATGAAGTTGAACAGACCCCATCTCTTAATCAGATAGAAAGAAATGTGCTTATTAGTTTGCTTATTAGCAAAAGATTTGTTTCCATCAGAGCATCCTGGTTCTGAAGGCAGCTGTGTGTTAACTTTAAAGTATAGGCATGAATTGATTGCTTCTATTTTCTTCCGAGTATTAGCTGATCACGATCAGTAAGCTGTGCCATATTCAGGAAATGGCTCATTGCTGGCTGCTCTCAGCAACAGGATCTTGGACTGTGGCTGTTTGTGAAGGTCCCTGCTGTCAGTCAGGCTAATATTGGGATGAAAGGAATATCCAACATCTTCCCTGAGTCCTCTGGGAAATCAGTCAGATAAAAATGCAGCATTATTGAGTCACTGAATCAGATCTGCGAAAGGAGAGGTTTAGAAACAGTTAGGTACCAAAAAAAGAACACAGAAGAAAGACTCAGGAGGGCAGAGTAGGGGAAAGAAAAAAAAAAAGATTTCCAAGTTTAATCTCTTCAGAAGGACATCCTCTCCCTTGCCCTCCAAGATCTACCACGTTTGACTGCTGACATCACCAACACACAGAGAGCTTTGCACAAAATTCCTAAACATTTCCCTCTCCTAGGCCCTCTCCTCTTTAGTTTGTAGTAAATGACTGCGGCTAAGATTGTCACCATCGTTTTCAAGTCAAAGGAAGAGATATTATCATCCTCACATGAACACTTTCAGAACAAAATTCCTAGCAAACACAGCATAGGCTAATAATTACAGTTGTAGAGAGACAGAATAAACTTGCAAGACTGTTTTGCGTATTTAGTTGAAGAGTATTCCTTCTGAAATCTATTTATTACCTATAAGACAGCATTTTTAAGATCCTTTCAAAATGCATCACCTTCCTTTCAACTCTTTAGAAGTTTTTGAATAATAAGAAAATTAGAAAAAAAGAAAAGAAACAATCCCAAAACTCATCTCTAAGGAGATGGGGAAAGATACGAAAATCTTGCAGCCCCATAACCATCATTCCAGACAGCCAACCATTTGTAACACTGAAGAATTACACCTGTTAAGCTAAATGAGCCACTAGTTTGGGAAACCTGACTGATGGGTCTCTTATACTGGATTACCCGAGGTAATTTATTCCATACCTGCATGGCTGAGTGAGAGCCAGAGAAATGGACCTGATTGCGCCATAATATAATCTAAAAAAAAATCAAGAACAAGACTACGCTCTTTTAAAGTTAGCTGTGTAAGTCTAGTTTAATTGTTGGTAAACTGTGAGAGCGACAAAGGTGAATTAAGCACTCATACTTACTGAGGAGTCAGGAAGATGCTCCTCCTCTTGAGAAAAAGAGCTATTGAAAGCTCTAAATGTCTCGCTGTTCTGCTTGTGCTTTTCGATTGTTGCCTGAATGACCTGTGACAAAAAATCCACCAAAGATGAGAAGCGTCACAGGAGGAGCCCTGAAGAAATTCTCTTGTAGGAAGATGGTTAGGATGATCAGTTCAGCAAAAAAGCCTCTTGTACTTGCACAAATGAAATGGAAACTTAAAAACTGTGCTGACTGGTGCTGTTAACTCACTACTGTTTAAGTTAAAACCGAAGAGCATCATCAATCAGGCAGCATCTCTACAAGTCAGACTGCAAGAACACACAAGGTTCTGGAGCCTCGGTCTCAGAATCATAGAATTGTTGAGGCTGGAAAAGACCTCTGGGACCATCAATCTGGTCTCTCCTCTGGCTGGGCTTGAGGACTGCAGGAAACCTGCTGGAAGCTGCCAGACCCTGCCTGGAGTCAGCAGCAAGACCCCCACCGCTGCTCCACACTTCTCCTTAAGTGACTTTGCCCAGCTGGGCCACCCAGCTTCCTCACAGAGCCACAGTCATTGGGATCCCCCAAAAAGGAGTTTTAAAAACAGACAGTGCTGACTGCATGGTGAGTTCCACCCGTATCATAATGGTTTTGTATTAACCTGAATCCATTCCCGCTTCTCCTCTTCCGTCCTGTTGAAACAAAAGAAAAACACAGAAAACATCATAATTTGATTTCCAATCTTTTCAGTACATTCAATTCACATCCTCACAGGTTTACTTCCATTAAGATCTCAGCTCTGCTGTCCAGTGTTTTAGAAACATTATGAATAATTATTGACCCCAATTATCACCAAACAAACGACAGAAAGGTTTGAATTGTTAATATGGTGGAACCTACACTGTAAGCATTCAATAAGCAAATCAACATAGTGTGGTAACATTCTCAGACAGAGCATCAACACACTCTCTTGCATATAAAAGTTACGTATCTCTGATGCTCAGCTCCTGGTTTAAAGGTATGTCACACTAGCACAGCCGTATCTCCTAGATCACAAATTGCTACATAAATATTCACAAGCCTGGAAAAACAGAACAAGCACCGTACCTGGCCTGTAGCTCCAGCGATCTCTTTTTTCCTGTTATTGAAAATGTATGAGCCACGTTTTGCTTGGCAATTTCCTGGACCTGTACAAAGAACATGCCAGCTTCTTACTAGTCTCCGTTGTCTTTCAATCATTTTTAATGACTTACAAATAGATTCCTGATTCAAAATACTTAGTTGAAAGGATCACTCAGAACACTGTACAGAGGTAGGATAAACAAAGGATTGTTTTCTATAATTACTTGCCTTGCTACAAAACTTCTGAATCTGTAAAACCAACCAGACCCTGCACCAGAAGGGGGAAAGCTGGGGGACACTGGAAGGCTCTCAATCAAAGCACGCAGAGTGACCATTTGCTTACCCGCCTTTGGGCGATTATCTCATAATAATTAAAAAAAAAAAAAAGAAATAAGAAGTCCAATGCTAGATTTTAGAATTTTACTATATTTCTACACACATACATTATTAGACCTTTAGATTCAGAGGGGATCTGACACTACCAGGTGGGGAAACATTAAATGAGGAGAAAAGAGGAGATGCAAACCTGCAGTCCTGCAATGTCCATCTTCTCTCGAACACTGAACTTCTGGCCGATCAGCCTGAGTTTTGGCACACAGTATAACATCATGCTGTTGAACTGTAAAAAGGGAAGATGTTAAGTTAAGGGGTTACCTGCAGGACAGAGCCTGCTTTTTAGACAGGACTGAGGTGTGTTTGAACTCCAACACACAGTTCTCAAGAAGAGATTTAAGGAGCAAGCTAGGCTGACGTGTTTTTACTTGAAAGAAATGGACAGACAAACATCTCAGCCAGTCACATCCCCCTTCTTCCCCTCTCTCTGCTACCAGTTTGACCACCTTGCTCTGTGCCAGCAAGAGCTGGCCTCATGCACAGCAAGGCAGTACAGCTGGAAACACAGCTCCTCGGGCGCTTCGCAAACCGACAGCCTCGAGGGAGATGGGGAAGATCCCTTTGGGTCTGACAAGCCACTGGCAAAGGCAAAAGGGTGGAAAAAGGAAGGAAATCCTCAAAGAAAGAACATCGAAACTGCTGCTCAGAGGACTGAGTAGCTGGGCTCAGATGGCAAATGCTTTTTGTATTTGAGATTAGGGAGATGGAAATCATGGAATTGTTTAAGTTGGAAAAGACCTTTAAGAGCATTGAGTCCAACCGTTAATCCAGCAGTGCCAGTTCCCTGAGCACCACTACATGGTTTTTAAATCCCTCCAGGGGTGGGGACTCCACCCCTGCCCTGGGCAGCCTGTGCCAGGGCTTGACAGCCCCTTTGGTGAAGAATTTTTCCTAATATCCAATCTAAACCTGTCCTGGTGCAACTTGAGGCCGTTTTCTTCTGTCCTATCAGTTGTTACTTGGGAGAAGAGATTGACACTCTCAGTTCTACTATTTCACAACACAAATCTGAAAATAAGAGAGGGGAAAAAAAAAAAAAAAAGACTCACCAGGAATAAATACCTATCCTGTGCTGTGCCATTCTTTGCTGAAAGCTTCTGAATGTGTCCTTCTTTAATGAGCTCATTGGCTGGGTTAACAATATCCTCTTCACCACCAAGTCGCTCATAGACCTCCAAAAGCTTGTGCATCTTTTCCTGCAAATACAAAACCCCCAGAAATTTAAATTTAAAAGAAAAATCCACTTGGGTGTATATAAGTGGGAAAGAAACTAGCCTTTCAATTCTGCTATAGCTTTGCATTTTTAAAAATTAACAAATACCTGTTTTGTACTCTTTCCAACTCTGTATTAGTCACTTATAAGTCATATTTGGACTGTACCATTTTACTGGCATTTTGAGATTAAGCTACGTAATATGTTTAGATATTCCTACTGAACAATAAAAGTGTGTCTTTGGAAGCAATGGCATCGCATTCCCTAAATGGCCAAGTTGGAGACTAGTACGTTACCAAATTGTTTCCAGCTTTGAATTTTCCAACTCGATTTCCACCCCACTTCTCAGATGAAGATTTCTGTTACAGTATGACTGTTTCTCAGCTTCTGAGATGTTTCACCTGCTGTATTGTTGCTGATACAACGGCAGGTAGGTCTCTCTCACAGTCATATTCTGCATTTCTAAGCTAAATCTAAAACTCCAGCTATATGGGGAATGCTGCAGTTCTACACAGGGGCCTCCAAGGCAGAAAATACCTGACACAGGCCAGGAGAAAGAGCTTAAAAGATACTTATACTGTTGTTCAGGCATCCTTATGTCTTGGTCAAAAGTTCTTTCTGAAGGGTTGTTTTTCCTTTTCAGCCAAGCACTGTTTCTAACAGCATTAAGTGATCCAAATATTGAAGTCTTTTCATACAGCATTCAAATGGACAAAGGTAACTAGTTCACCCACCTGCAGCTGCTCTATTAAACACTGCAACAGCTTTACCAAGTGAAAATAAGAAAGGTGTGTAAATCCTGCTACCGAGTTACAGCATTTGGAAAGGTTTGATTTTCAACCACAACGTGGACTGATGCGCTCCAGACGGCACTGCCAGCAAATGGTCAGAAGGTGAGGACAGAGATTTTTGCAATTACACCCAAATATGTGCCCAAATCTCTGCCCATCGACAAGTTACGCTGGAATTTCAGGTCTTTACACACGTTGTTTAGCCCGGTTTGACTTGAGAATTTTCACCACAAACGGATATCACACCAGGTTCCCATCCTAATCAGTTCTTCTGACCAATGGTTAAACAAAGGAACAATCAAAAAACCCCACCACAAGAACCCAAAAGCAAACACACTGCAAAACAAAGTGGAAAGAGGGGAGGGCTGCAGACTAAAACCAAATCACTTAAGCCCTAAAAGGCTGTAGAATTTTTTCTGCCAAATGGGAAGATGGGCATGAGATCCCACTAATTTAAAAACAAACAAACCCCAGTGAACTTCCCAAGCTTTTTTTTTTTTTTTTTGTAAAAGAACAAACTAGAACACTTTGAGCAGATCCGAAACCTGAGGGATATCTGCACTTCTAGGAAAAGTCAGCTTTGGAAGCATGACTTATTTCTTCGACTATACCACAGCAGGAGGAAGCAGCTAACAATTAATTCAAACCTTCACTAACTTTCAGAGGTTTGGCTCTGAGCTTGCACCATCCCACTGGTTCCACCAATAAATTCTTCCTCGGATATTTTTCCTGCTCAAGCGAAACATATTAATTACATTCAATGCAATAAGAAGCCCTAATTAGAGGCTTCAGGTTCTTATCAGACTAAACAGAGGGTGCAAAATTATTATAGCAGCCTTTTCCAAAAGGTTGTTGTGTACTAAGAGAAAAAGCATCCAACACAGAAAGGAACTAGCTGATGGTTTCCTATTCCTCCCGTCTGTGGTGAGACCGTACAGAATCCTCAGCAAAACAGTTGCTCAAGGCTCCAAACCAGAAAAATTTCCACCAAAATACATCCTTATCAAGGGAACACGCTAGACTCATATAGAAACAGCCGGTTTCACAACTGGCTTCCACGCAGACGTGCTGAAAATACACAGACATCAGCTGGTGACCTGCCCGTAGCAGCCACAGGAAACGTGGTGTCACCGCGTCCCCGCCGGCGGGGAGAAGGAAGTCAGGGTCCAACATGGAGGGGACGCAAATCTTGTCTCCACAAATGGTCAGTGAGCGTTAAGTCAGATACGCAGCATTTCACATCTGTTAGACACAGAAAGCTCCTGAGGCACTTGGGTGCACACAGGGGCCGTCACCTTGTAACTACGAAGTCCGTTTACTTTAATGGCAAGGCACTAGCTGGAAAGCGTGTGCAAAGATTCAAAATCTCCCAGCCTCAGGCTGCCCAGCTTTAGAAGTACAGCTTACCAAGGCTACTGACACACGCCCGATGCACGCTCTGTGCATTTAAGACGAGCCCAGATCAAACCAAACCAACCTCCAGCCTGGTAGAAGATCTGTAGGACTAAAAAACAGTGTGAAAATCTGCAGGGACACCTTATGAATGCACCTAATTGCCATACTTTCAATGTTTTTCAATGAGAAGCAAATAACGAGTTTTATGAAGATCTCGTTTTACGACCCATTGCGTCTGCAAGAACAAGGAATGTGAAATTTAGGCCCAACAACCCATGGTAACCGCAACAGGATTACTTATGATAAAGAGAACTCAGATATCCAACTGATATTTTAAAGCCTGCCTCACCGTATTTGAAAATTCTTTCTGGCCTACTTTACTGAGCCTATTGCACAGGGGGGCCATTGGTTCAATCAAGTGTTTCCATCAGATTACAACCCCCTCACGCAGTTTCTACTCACCATCTTTCGGATGGCTGCATTCGAATGGTTCGCTGCCGTAGATATAAGCTCCAGTGACTCTGCAATAAAGGTACCAGCAGTTATGCACTCTCTGGATTATATCTCTTAATAGCACCTTGGGGGCTTTTTCACCTCCCTCGTTAGTGTTTTTCCTGCAAAAGTGCTGCTGCAAAAGCGAAGACTTTATTTTCACCTTCCACAAATAAAGGGAACACTTATAAGCAGCTATATATATATAATTATTTCTGCATGTTCGGCTTGTCCACGTGCATCTAAATGTTTAATCTTTCTCTGCTAAAAGTCTAGGTGAGTTAAAGCACAATGTGACCCCAAAAAAATAAAAAATAAAACCACCTTCTAGAGGTCAACCTACTAAAAGTTAATTTAAGTCTCACTTAAGTCTTCAGCAGCACATTTTTCAGAGTGTTTTCCTAAAACAGGTAACATGAACCCTGTTTTGGTCAAGATCACAAACTCCTAGGAGCCAAGAGAAGTCCATTTCTTCTCTTTCCTTGTGCTAACAGAGTCCAACCTGCTTTCCTAGGCCATTCTTATTTCCTTCCTCTGGCTATTGCCTCTATTTATCCTTGGCCATACAATAGATTAAATTAAAACAACAGATGTTCTACCATTACAAACTGCAATATTTTGTGATTGCTTATTTGCCAAAGTTCCCTTCATTCGTAGAGCTGACATATCATCACTTCTTCTCTACTCTAAGAGCATTCAAAGTCCATTTGCACTATGTTTGGCAATAATCTGATTAATTCAAATTTCCATGTCTACCATAGCACTAGTTGAAAGTGTCTGAACCTGTGAAGAAAAAGCTCTCCAAGATGTTATTATGCTCATTAGACAGAGAGGAGTTTACATGTACTTTCAGCATCTTTCCTGTCTGGAGACTCTTCTGGAAGTTTCTTTAAGTAGTCCTTTAAGAGAAGCTCATAACGAGGAATTCTCTGCACTGGTTCCAGCATGTGATGCTGTAATGTCAGGTTTCCACACACCTCCTGTTTCTGTAAGGGAAAGAAAACAAACAAAGGGTTTGGTTTTGTTCCTACTTTTGGTGTTAAATAGCAATGAAAAATGACCACTCACATAGAGGAGCATAAAACAACTTCCCAAGCTATCACAGAATCACAGACTCTCTTAGTTTGGAAAAGACCACTACAATCTGCTAATTGCACCCAACAACCTCCCCGGGGCAGACTGTTCCAACGCCCGAAAGCCCTCTCAGTGAAGACTTTTTTCCTAATATCCATCTAAACCTCCCTTGGTGCAACTTGAGGCCATTTCCTCTTGTCCAATTGCTTGTTATGTGGTTGAAGAGACCGACCCCACTCTGATACAACCTCTTTACAGGTAGTTGTCCAGAGCGAGAAGGGCTCCCCTCAGCCTCCTCTTCTCTGGGCTGAACAATCCCAGGTCCCTCAGCTGCTCCTCATCACACTTGTTCTCCAGACCCTTCTCCAGCTTCGTTGCCCTTCTCCAGACCCGCTCCAGCACCTCCATGTCCTTCTTGTCATGAGGGGCCCAAAACTAAACACAGGGTTCAAGGTGGAGCCTCACCAGAGCTGAGTACAGGGGGACTATTGCTGATCCAGGCCAGGATGCCGTTGGCCTTCCTGGCCACCTGGGCACACTGCTGGCTCATGTTC